GGTTTGGGTTGGAAGGGATCTTAAAGATCAAATATGCTAAGTATATCAGATATATTGTTAGCATATATCATACAATATTAATGACTGACTCTGTGGCAGCACAGTTTTACTCAATACATCCATTGTCAGTAGTAATTTGGAGAGATGAAAGAGTAGTTCTACTTCAGTGAGTCTTATAGCTATGTAAGGATATGCACAGCAACAATGGTGTGCATCATCTCAGACTTCATGTACAAAGCAACAACACAATGTTAAAGTTGTGTTTGTGTGTATTTGTGTGCATGTGTCTGGCTGTTAAACCAAGCGTCCTTTGGCCCCAAGAAACCATGGCACTGCCTGTGCAGACAGACACATCCACATCTGAAGGGATGCCTACAAGAAGAATAAAGAAGCAGACCTTAAAGAGAAAGCCAGGTGGCATTGCAGAAGCTGTCTCTTCTGCTGGAACAGGCTGATCTTGAGAAGGTGCAGCCTGCATTTCTTCAGTGGGTTTCTGCTCACTTCCAACTTGGGAAGTTTCACTGGGAGAAGCGTCAGTGCTCTGAGTGCCCATCTCTGCTGCAGCATCTCTGGACTCGTTGACGATAACTTCGTGTTCTTCTCCCTCTCCCTCATTGTTTGATGCTGGCTCTATTACTACTGAAGGGATGCTGCCGACTTTGTCCTGGGAAAAAAACCAAACAAACAACAAAAGCACCGCAAGAGTATTTAATACTTTATTTCACGTAGGAAAACACAATTGTTCATTTATGGCACAGGGTAAATATGGGAATAGTAATTTCCTCCTTCTCCACAGCGGATTCTTAGATTAAGACAGAAAACAGACTTGTGCAACAGGGAGTAATCCCTTCCCTGTTTTCACTGTTCCCACTATTTCGCCTAAGTCTACTTCATATCTTACCACAAATTATTGCAGTAATTAATAAAAATGCTCTGCAGGTAGTATGGGTTTCATTTTCAATGTGCATGGAAATTAACAGACCTTTCTCCTCACCTCTTCTCTTAACTTCAGGTGGGTTTGAGTAAAGCCACAAGTTCCAGGAGTCACCATTCTATGTGTCTTTCGAAATTCAAGACAGTGACATAAAGGCAATGAAAGAAGGAAACATGACCTATTTCTTTGACTGATTGAGGGGATTTCTCCTGATCTACAGCAAAGTAATGGAGCAGAGAAAACAAAAAGGATAAGCAGGTAGCATCTGACCAAGAACGCAGCCTAGGGCAAAAATCATTTAAGGAAACTTGTTGGAGCATCCAACCTGAAAAGAGTATGTCTACTGATCTTCTGCCAGATCATCCTGTTCTGGTGCACAGAAGAAATACAACGTGCAATGACAGGAGGTGGCAACTGACTGCCCAGCTGCAGGGTCTGCTCTAGTAGCTGTTCTCCAGCTCCTCAGAGGTCGCAGAAGAAAAAGCAGTAGGCCAGATGCAGATACATTGCTTAACCACTGTGATTTACCTAAAGCAAAGTAATGCTACTGATAATATATGGTGCCAGGAGACAAGAAAAATCCACTATTTTCTCTGCCTTTTTCTCCAGAAAGCCCTGCACACGGTTAGGTTATGTGATAAAGCTTCTCTCCACAGAGGAGGACAGAGAGACAATGGCAGGAGGGGGATGCCAAACAATACCCTGCCCAGGCTGCTCCCAGGAGCCATCAGCTTATCAAGTCCCATCTCCACAAGCTCAGGGGAGCACAGGGACACAAAGGCAGGCCCAACCCAAATTCAGGACTCGGAAGAAGGGACTGTCCCAGGAGATCCTCAGCCTTACTACTGGTTGGACCTGGGGGCACGGAGCTGCGGCAGCCTTCCCTCTTGGGCTGCTGGATCTGTCCCGATTCCCCATGCACACTCTCCCGTCCACCGACACGAGTTACCTGAGACACATCAGTCTCCTTTTCTTCTTCCTGAGGTTTGTCACCTTCAGCAACACCCTCCTGCTCAGCGGTAGAAGTGCCATCACCAGCTCCTGCTGCCACAGCCACGCTGTCTTCTGCTGCCACAGCCCCCTCGGTGGCAGGGAACACCTACGAACAATGGGAGGGGGGGACCTTTCAGGACGCAAGTTCTGGACATCAGCCTGAGACACCATGGACCAGCCTCTGCTCTGCGACCTCCCTGGGCTGTGCCAACCCACAGCCTTAGCAGGGTCCTCAGACATTGCAGTGGAGCAACAGTTCGTCAAGGCTCTAGTATTTTTAACTCCTCTTGCCTTCAAGCTGTACTGTGGAAAAAAATTCATCACAGGTTTCTGCTGAGGAGGAGGAGCTTGCAAGCCGTCCAGGGGTCCACGGGACCCACTAGTGGAGTCTGTTGTCAGGAAGAAGCCCCAGCCTCCTCCAGGCTACTATCATCTACCTCTAGACCTAGGCTGGTTTCAAAAACATTGCCTTTCACTACAAACTCCTTTCTAATAAAGAGACTTGCAAATCGAGCTATATCAGCAGAAGCAAATACATTCTACAGTTGGATAAACCCCAGAAATCTTCAAATTCCATCAGATATCAGAAAAAATTATAGAGATCTATAGTTAGGTTAGTATAAAAAAAAAAAAAGAAACATAAACAAAGGCCCGAGCGCTCTGTATATGACTGAACCATTTGTGATCAGTCCATGTTGAAAATAATGTATGTTTTGTCCCAGTTCTTGAAAGGTGGATAGAAAAGTATCTGCCCATAGATCAATGTTGAATCCTTAATCTAGCAGAGACTATTGCTGTAATCTATGTATCCCACTAACATTTGTACTGGTATACACTGGTATATGCTTACAGTAGCATATTTGATATATACTTACAGTGGATTCATCTTAAGGGTTGGAGGGTGAAGTGCAAATAATGAAACTCATTCTGCTAATCCAATTAACTTCAGTATGAAATTTTTAACGTAGGGCAGATAGCACCAGGATGAAGTAAAAACACTGCAGAAAGATTGTTTTCTGGATACTTATGTCAAGCTACCGTTAACAGAGATATCTCTGATCTTTTTTTTTTTCTCTTTCTTTCCTCAGTTTGATCTTTCCTCCACAGATGAGGCTAACTCAGCTACCTGAACTGAACTTGAACTACCTGCTATCCTTCACGGGCACTCTTCAGGCATTGTCTTTTAGTAACATCCAATATTCAGCACTACTCTGATTGACTGCTATTAATTGACGTGATAAATTCTACTGGAGTCCTTGAAGGCAGAAAATACTACAAGGTTTTGTAGAAATGCCTGCAGAAGCTTCAGTTTAAATTGAAAATGCTGCTGACGAAGGAAGTCCTATCATAAAAAGAAGGAACATCAAAAGACATGGACAGATGTTGACATCATCTTCTGTGACTTACAAGGCAAGCAAACCTGCCACTCACAGTATTACCACTTTTAGCAGCCTTGATCCGAGAAGATATTCAAATAAATGAGTGTAAAAGCCCTGGAAGAGGCTAGTAGGAAAGAGGGGGAACAGAGTGCACATCAGATTGATTTTATACCCTGCGCTTCTAACCGCATGCTACAGAAATTGATCTTGCTGTCTGTTGTGATTACGATCAACACTTCTTTTCTATTTATTGGATTTGTATAGCCTCTTTCATTTCACTAAGGAGGAGAATTCCAATTTACATGAATCAGCTCTCAAATGCCCTGCACTAGAAGGGTGACACTCACACGGCCTGTAGATAAGAGTCACTGAACGCATACCACAGCTCACAATTGTGTAATGATTTGTTCTTGTGTCTGAGAGTGCAAACCCAATGCAAACTAGATAATTAAACAAAGCTTTTACAAAAACTCATGTGAGGTAGCACAGAATAAACTGCACTATCAGCCTCAAATACATCTGATTAGTACAGAAAAGAAAAAAAAAAAAAGACGGAGGCTCATCCCACTGAACCCATACCCAGCTATGGTGAACCACACACTTGCAGGCATAGCAACCAGTATTAACTTACTTCATATTGAAAATCGATCTTACAAACCTCTTTTCCCTGGGTCATCAATAATATAAGACAGTCTAATAGTATTCCAAATTAGCTATCTCTAGCAGTATTATTGCAACTTGGCCAGTTGTCCCATTATACCAACCACACAGGGGACAAAGAAAGAGTCATCCACTATAACGAGGGCTGCGATAGAAGAACCACTTGACTGTTGTAACTGCAGCAGAAGTGAGCGATTCTTTACCCAGGGTGCAGCCGATTCACACGGCTGCGCTTTCCTCTCATTAACGCTGCTGCCAGCTCAACACAATGCCACGGATTCGGCGGCAGCAAGAACGAGGCCAGGGAGAGGAGGAGGAGGAGGCAATCGAGCCTGCTGGAGCTCCCGGAGCTATGCCGGTCTTCTAGAGCTGAACATCTCACCCTGTGGCTGGATTTAGAAAGGGACTGGCTAATTTTTATGACAGTTGGTTATAATTGCAGCGAAGCTAGCTAATATAACGTCAAGAGGAACTAATCATCATGCTTTAGGGAATACATCAATTGCTTGCAAAGTCTTGGAAGACTTTTGGGGTAGTACTGAAGAATTTGTTATGCAAGATACAGTATCAAAGGGACCACCCTCCACCAGAGGCCAGATATCAGCTTAGTAAATAGCTTGATCTTTTATGCAGCTTTTCTGCATACAGTAAAACTGCTATTTTAAACAAAACACAGAGTCAAACTCACCAGATAAGAGACCTCATCTTTATAAAGACTAGTGATATTAGAAAAAAGGAGGAAGATTTCAAAGACTTAGCCTTGGTGCTCACAGGTTAATGAGGAATTTCTTGCTCGTTTCTGCTTGGACCAAACTTGTTGGGAGTGACAAGCCGATGCTAGAGAAGCAATGCAACACACTTTTGCATTGTCTCAACGCCAAGGTGGGCTTGATCTACCCCTCCTGTCCTGTACTTTCTTGCTAGTGTAATTCCACTCATTTCTACGTGGATGTGGCAGCGCCAGTGAGGAGTACGGCACTGGAGAGTCTCAAACTCGCTTCTCAGTTCCACTGGGATACCCTGGAGCTACAGATATATCCTGGACTCTAGCAGAGCTAGTGCTCTTTTACAGCAGGGTAACAAACCCAAGCTTGGACAGCTGGACTCACCAAAGTGAAACCAAAGTGAAGGGAGAACAGTTCACGATATTTTTGTATACACTGTGGTGTCAAAATAAATAACAACAAAGGAGGTTGTCAGCACCTGGAGATACAAATCCTAAATGATTAATAACTAGGAGTTACAATCTCTTTCTCAGTTCCTACTTCTATCCCTGCATTTAATACATAGCCAGTCCTCTTGTGCTGCTCTCTGTGCACATTTGAACACATTATAGCTTCACTTTAGTATAGAAGGATTCAGGATAAGTAGTTTTATCACCTCTGAGGAAATAAAAGGAAAATACAATCATTTGAGTCCACGCATGCACAGCTTAAAGTATGTCATTGAGCTTTCCAGTTGCTTTGTAATTTCATTTTCGCTGTACCTAAGTTGATGCGGGATTTGTGCTTTAGCAAACAAACCTGTAACATGATTATTTTCAAATACCTGTTTTAGTTCAGGGCATATTGTGCTAGGAAAAAATAAACGATTAATCAAAGTTTCTTTCTTTATAAAAAGGTGTTTGCAGGAAGTATAGGCAAACAAATTTATGGAAAGCGTAAAAGCTACTGGGAATCTATGCAACATATTTCCAAAGGTCAACAGAAAGTGCATTATACCTCCTTCTACCACGGAGCTGCTTTTTTTGCTGCCCTGAGATATTTATCAATCTATACAGCTGCAACAGGCAGTTTCTAAACCAGGCCCTGCATTGAATGAGAGGTGCCCTGGTGTTAGAATATCTACTGCAGATATAGGTGTTAGAATAGATGGAGTGTTAGAACAGATGTTGCAGCTAGGTCACAGTTGCATTGTATCAGCCTGCATATCGATGACATGCAAATGACAAACATTTTTTGCCACAATTCTGAAGATATTAAAGTCCAGCCACACTCTTGAGGCTGTTCGCATGTACCTCGCTTTCTTTCTCAGCAACTTCAGTTGTCTCCTTATCCCCTGTCTCGACTCTGTCCTGTATAAAGAGGAAATATGGTCATCACCTTACTCATGCTGAGGCAATGGCTGCAGAGAAATTGGTATTAATCAAGCTTAAAGGAAGCACAGCATGTGTGGGATGCAATGAAATGAATGGATGGAACTAAGTGGGATAGTATATAGCAAGCAGAAAGGTTCTTGCTGCCACACATAATCAGAAATAAATGTAGTTACAGGCTAAAACCCAACAAATAAAACCTTTTACATACGTCATCATGACCACTGTATGTGCTAAAGATGATTTTATTTACTTTTATTATCAGTATTCTCATAATAGCACCCGATTCGAAGAATTTTTTAGTAAGCAACAACCCACAACACTGTTGATTGTGCAGTTTCCAGGAAGCTCAAATTTCTCCCACCCAAGACTCAAACCATTCCCATTATAACCTGCTGCTCCCCCTGCAACTCACCAGAGTTTCAAGGTAAACTCTCTAGAACACTTACTTCTTCCACTCATGTTGGACTGCAACTCGTTTAAAGGGGCTGTTCAAAAGAGGTGGGTCACAAAGCTCATGGATTTTTTTTGTGGAATCACCTTTCTCTAGGTCCATATTCAGTGGTACATGCAGCAGGTGCCTGACATTTAAAAAATTAGACACGTGTCAGTGGTTTTCCAAATCTGACACCCATTTAGGTGCTCAAAGGATTGATTGCACTGAACACTAATGGGGTCTCTCCAAATAATAGGCCCTCTTCTACAGAAGGTCAAGTCAAAATCCCTAAAATTCAGGTCTGATTTGGAACAGCTGGAAGCACTTTTTTTCTGTTGTGGTTTGACACCCTGCAGACACAGGCTGTTTCTAAAGACGTTCTACTGAGGGAAAGCAAATCGAAGCCCTGTTACAGAAACCCACTTTGCTAATAAAATTTAAGGCTGCGTTGCAAACACAGCTAGGTCACATTTTTCAAAAGAGCTGTAAAGGTGAAGATGAGTTATGCAAACCTATGCGAGGGCACGGCAGATTCAACCGTTCACTTTGGCAATCACAAATTAGGAGACCTCAAGCACTCAGGCTCCAGCTAACTGCTTTCACACACCCACAACTGTCACTCCAGAATTTCTACAAGTTTCAGCTGAAATGGTTGCATGTTTCTTTTTTAATAAAAGGATGCTGAGTTATATTCAGACTTCTTATCACTCGTGTTTTTTCTGATCTAATCTTCTAGTGTTGCCTGCAGTCACTTAATAAGCCCCAACCATGTCCAGATGCCAGGGCAAGGCAGCTGCTGACAGCAGCGTTACCATAGAAACCTCTCACAGCTTTATCCCATTAAAATTAGTGTTATATAACCTTTTTTTTATGTTTAATTTTTTTTTTTTTTTTTTTTTATTTTTTAAAAGCTGTCAAGCCCCTGCCATGGAGTCCTTGATTTTATAGTAAATTTGAGGAGACTGCAGAGGGTCTTAAGTAGAAAAAACAAATATCAGCAGCAAAATATAATTATTTCTTACTCAACTAATGCACACATGCATACGGCCACCCACAGAAGTCTCATATTTTAGTTTTTTTTAACAAGAGACAAGTACTCAAATGTTTCTATTGCCCATAAAAGCTTTACGTCCAACTGCAAGTTGGCAGATAGATGCCTTCCTTACTTTTACCATCAAAAAGTGCTAAATTTCTGTCATCAGCTGTATTTACAAGTCAATCTGCCTTCAGAAGTGAGCATCAGCCTGCACTTCATAGTCAGAAACACGCCAGTGTTGGCCCTGCTCTTAATAATATTCTGGCAATGTTCTCCGGTAAGAATCCCATCAGCCTGGCTTCGGGCCTCTTTACAGAAGAATCTAATATATACATACACGCATTTTAAAACAAAGACTGTTTTCCAGGCTAACTGAAAGCAGTTTTGGTGGGAAAGGAGAAAGTAAGGAGAGCTCCCCTTGCTTCCCAAAGCTTGGGACTCTCCGAAGATAATTTGACTGTTGCGCACTAGTCGAATCAGTAGCATTTTGCTTTCGCTTTTTTTGATTAGCTGGAAGTTAGGATTTTGTGGATGGTGGAGTTTGAGAAGAGAGGCACAGCAGGACGAACTCTACCATTTTTAGGGCATGAAAGCCTAGTAGTTCTACACCAGTTCTCTCCTGTATATGACAGCCATGTATTTTTAATGGCCTCATTGCTCCAACTTTGCACCTGCACTCAGCTGCACGCTCAGAATTTGGACACAGTTGATCACTTTTCTGTATCTAACCATTGTATTGCTCTCCCAAATGACATGCTCCACCATTTGGGCACCATGAATTGCACCTACAGGGGGATTCAACCATAATTAGATACCCTCAAAGCTGCAGGTTGCTTCCTGGCCTCTGCTGTACTTGCTCCATGTCTTCAAATTGCTTACCAGGAGATAATTTCATATATACGTAATGAGATCCCACGCAGCAATTCTGATGAGCTTTTGTAATGAAATCTTGGCAATTTTGTTCAGACAGACTACGAAATAGCAAGTAACTGAATCCAGAACTCCCTGAATGGTAAGTGGTACCCTATCCCCTGGGACATTCTCTCCCCAGTTTAAATGAAAACCCTACCAGAAAATTTACTGCAAAGCTCCCACAATGAAGAACGCATGTCGTAAATTTTTTGGATTAATGGGATGTGACAGGAAACTTCCCACAGAAAAATTAAACTGATTAGTGGCTGTCACACCAAACTGGAAGTTGCTAAACTTGATAAAAGATTCCCAATAAGAAAGTATCTATTAATATTTTACAACTCCACTTTTAAAGTAAACTGTCACTCGTACAGCAAATGAATGCAGAACTGCTGTCGAGAAGTGACATGTTTTCATCTTTTGCAACTCAGTGTACTTTTCCTTAGCTTTGATCATATTTGTCATTAATTCTAATCTTCAAAACTCTTCTTTGCAAGTCCTGGAAAGCCTTTCCTAAAATAACAACCCCTCAGAGCCAAACACAGAATGACTCAGATTTGGATATTTTTTAAATCAACACTTATAGCTTATTTTCCGAAATTAGCAGGGACAATTTTATATTCCAAAAGCAACAAAAAAACAAGCACAATCCTAATAAAACTGTTTAACTTCTATTTAATGCCTACAGTCTTCCTCTCGTATTGCTCTGAAATTGCCTGGCTCTTGCACTGTGCTTCCCACTGCCTCTCTCCCAACGGCTCTGTGGTCTTGTGCCTCGGCGACAGCAGCTGCCGACGGACCGTGGACCCAGAGCTCCTCACGGACAGTCAGGCAGCAAAGCAGATCATCTGATAAGGTCGTGCTGGCCAACGAGCAAGGAGCAGGCACGTGGTGCTGCAGCCATAGCCTGACATTTAATTAGCCCTTAAGACGTGCAACAGGCTTCAGAGCGTTGCTTTGTCTTAGTGCGAGGCAACAAGGAGCCAGCTTCTTTTCAGAAAAACGGTGAGCTTCTTTTAAAGTTTTTTTTCTTCATTAAACCCTTACAGATAATCAAAATAAAACCATCTAGAAACAACCTTTGCAGCTTCATTAATATCTGTATTTCCACATTATTCCCTGCCATTCACTCACGGGAAGAGGAGAGCTCCCGACCAATGACTGATTTCCCATCCATCCTTTTTTCCAAACTATTAAATCTACTCTGACTGGACGTGAGGCATTCCAGACAAGAGTTTGACAACACAACAACGTGCCTCAGACAGGTGATTTCATTCTCTGCCTTACTATAGAGTAGACAAGTTATTACTGTGATTTATATCAACTGAAAACACCCAGGAGGGAGAGAGCCTGGCCTCCACAGACCGTGGGGTTTTCTCCATTCAGTTACATTATTGGAAGGGGATGATCCTGAAGTCACTTGCTCCAGTGAGTACCATAGAACTGAACAAAAGTGAATTTAAAAAAAGTGAAATCAATATGCAACGTTCATGTAAGTGGAATCAGAATTAAACCCTAAACATAGTTTTGGGGAACACACTGGGGCTGCTTCCCTCCAGAGCTGCAGTGCTACTAGGAGTCCGCAAGGACTCACCCAAGGCCAAGGGTGGTTCGGCACAATGAACCTTGTACTGCTGGGAACACTTAGGGCACCAAACTGTGCTCCATGGTCAAACAGTACAGCTATACAGCTTCCACCGGCTTCTGAGCAGAGAACTGACCCACAAAACAACCCCTTTTTCTGTCTGTTCTTTCAGCAGCAATCTGCATATTCTAACAGCGACAAACACTCATTACAGATTTTGAGCATGTTATGGTCTCAAGGAAAGCAAGAAGACTGTCAGCCTACAAAGACAGATGCATTTTTCCTCCAGGGTTTCTTAGCCTGTGGGTATCACCCACTGCCAAGAACTTCTGACAGTATAGTATGTACAAGAGGAATCTCACTTGGATAAAAAGGATATTCACTGAGATGATTCTACGATACCTGTTATAAAAAGGGATGCTAGTCAGCAGAAAAGACCCACATCTACCATCTCAGACCCCCCTCTTAATTTGTAGTGATATCGAGTGCCCTGCTTTGTTCTTCTTGCAGAGCTCTCATTTCTGCTCCTCCCACTATTTCCTGAACGCTGACACGTAAAAATCTCCAAACTGACGCTTGGAGTTTCCTCTTCAGCTCATGGCTGGCTTCTAAAATGGTGAGCCTTGTAGACATTTACATTGCAATCACTTTTTTTCTGGTATTCTCATGCTCTAGCAAGGACCATACAAGATGTACATTGGCTCAGTGCTTACAGCTCAGCTTGAAATGAAATGAGAAAACTGCTAATAAGGTCATTTAAAAAATGGCATCAATTCTTTCCCCTTCTGAAGTCCATCTGGAATCAAACAGCCTGTGAAATCACAATCGCTCAGCTGAACTTCAGTCTAAAATGCCAAACATAAGAGGAATGACATTTTAGGGCTGAAAGGAAGAGGCGTGCTAGAGAGGCATGCTGTGACACAGCCTGGCACTGGGGAAACCGGCCATGGATGGGTGGTGACGATGGAAAGGATGGCTGAAATGCAGAAGGCACATTCACCGTGACGAAAGGTGGCTTGGATGAGGACCGGGAGGTGACATGGGGGACAGGTGCCAAACATAAGAGGAATGACATTTTAGGGCTGAAAGGAAGAGGCGTGCTAGAGAGGCATGCTGTGACACAGCCTGGCACTGGGGAAACCGGCCATGGATGGGTGGTGACGATGGAAAGGATGGCTGAAATGCAGAAGGCACATTCACCGTGACGAAAGGTGGCTTGGATGAGGACCGGGAGGTGACATGGGGGACAGGTCCCTCACCACAGCCTGCTCGGCGGGCTCGGCAGGCTCAGCAGGGACGGCTTCCTTTTCCGCAACAGCAGCAGCAGCAGCAGGGATTTCCTCGACCTTGGGTTCCCCAGGGGGAGCTTCTTCAGCCTCAGCCTTTTGTTTTATTAATTATTTTTTTTTTTTTAAGTAGAAAGTGGAAAAAATTGTTGAGGACATGACAGTGGGGAGGGAAGAGGGGAACGGGAACTGTGTCTGGCACAGGGCTGCTTCAGGCTCAGTCTTACTGGGCTTTGACAGGGAGTGGATGGCAGTGCTTGGCCTTGGAGCATCGAAAGCGTATTTTCCTCCTCAATGCTCTCTATATAAACTGAGCCAGTCCTACATCCCTCCCTCTCAAGGAAAGAAAGCATTAGGTTCTTCCCGAGTTACAGAAAGGTGATGGAAATGGGGAGAAGGCACTCGGTTCGCTTAGAAATGCTCCAGAAACGGACGGCAAGGCCAGGAGTTGACACTGGCACTCGCGTGTCCTAATCCTGGGCTTCCAAATTATGCCCTGTTTCCTAGTCCTGTCTGTTCTCAGACAATATAGTCCCTTCTCCGGTGAAGGTGAGAAGCAATCAGCAGGAGACTCAAAGTTTTTACATGCATAAGGGCAACCACTGACTGCTTGAATTCTGGCAGTGTGAAAATCATTCCTGGTTTCTTACTAAAACGCATTCCCTCCTGAGCTCTCAGTCACTTACAAGGCATCCATTTATCAACCCACTGTTGGGATTTCCACCCTTTTAAATTCTGGCCTAAGCTTGGTTGTTGTTTTTTTTTTTTTACCAAGAGGATCTAGCAAATACCACCAGCCCTGCAAAATGGCTCACAGCAAAAGTGAGCTCTCCAATGGAGACATCACTTTGCAAATACACGTGCACACAAGGAGAGAGCTGCAAGCTGTGCTCAGCATGTTCCATTTATAGAGATGGCTGACTCAATCAGATAAAATAACCCCAGTAGATTAATTTGCCATGAACAAACTGATCAGCATAACATGAAGCTCAAAAAGCTATTTAGCTGCAGTTGATAACAGGCAGCTGGCTAGAAGGTCTCCTGTGATGAAGAGACAGCTTCCACAACATTCTTACAGATACTAAACTCTCTTCCTCCCTGATATTTTTCAGGAAAAAAACCCATAACCTCTCACTTCTTTTCTCTCATATTCTTTAAGCAGACTGATTTTTAATGAGGTACAGACAAGTCTGGCTAAGCAGGACCTTCAGGATTTGGCACAGCATAGAGAAACGTTCATTAAATTATACCACGCTGTGCAGAAATCTCTCTGTGTAGTGTATTAATTCCAGCTCTAGGGAATTTCATAAAGAAGAAACAGGACTGAAATGAGAAACACAAAGTAGATTTATCCTAGGTAAGATGATGAATGAGTTTCCTGAGGTTTAACGCTGGAAGAAACTTTCAGGCTTAAAATCACAGGTAATGGGCTGTAATGCAGATTGCACTGATGTGCTTCAAGTCACTTGTGGACGAGCATGCTTCGGACTAGTTACCACATTTCAGCTACAAGTAAAAACACCCTCACCATATTCAGTAACCATTATGAAGCACCACCAGAGGCATTACACAAAAAACACATTAAATAATATTGAGTATCTGCTGCTACTAAGTAGCTATAGCACTCACCCAGCAACGCTGCTATTCCGCATCCTTACTCCAGGCTAATCAAAGACTGTAAAACTAAGAAGCTGCTGAAGTATGATCACTTCCAAAAAGATTCTCCACACCTTAGAAGTAGACTATGCCTACTATTAATATGAGGAGAAAGGATAAAACTACAGCAGTTTTGGAGATATTTAAACTGCCATCATGTACTATCTATCACCTGCTTGCTGTACACCCGACCATAGAACTTATTCTTGTCACTTGTTGAATGCAATAAGTGAAAAAAATGTTTGACTACACCTTTGAGAAGTAAACATATCAGGACATCCTAGTTCGCTTTTCTTTTTCTCTGTCTTATCCTTGTGAGAGACCATTTCATTAAGTAAAGATTTACAACCAAAGTGATATCGCCCACCAACTCTTCCGGGTTAAGGTTTTGTGAGTTAGAGGACAGAAAACACGAAAAAGGAAGAAATAACCTTCAACAAAGGAAAAAAGGTGCAATTTTCTACAGGGCATTTAAAAAGGAGGCAAAAGCCACCACTCACCAAAGGCTCTGTCACATTCTCATTTGATTGCACTGTAAATGCAGAGGTATCCTAGATACAGAAATGGAAAACAAAAAGGCAAAAATATTTGAGAAGGGATGTTTGCAGGTGTATATCAAAGACCTGATTTTTTATGGCTTATTCAGGTAACGTCACAAGCAACTTCTCATAGAATAAGATGGTCAACAGATGATCTAAATATTAATTATTAATATTTAAGCACTGTTAACACTAATGGCATTCCTTTTACAAATATATATTCTATGCTTCTAAACTGTGCTATGTTATTAAAGGCAGTGAAAACCCCTTCATTCAATATGTGAGACTTGCAAGGACTTTGTTTCAGGCACGATCCACTTCTAAGTTTTGAAACTCGGAATCCTTTTGCAGACTACACACGCTCCTGCCCAGGGAGTACGCTAGCTCCACCCTGCTTTCACATCGTCTTGGTTCTGGGCTTTTCTTTGAATAGCAGCTGTAGCAATTATGGATACAACATTTTACTTGCATTAAGAAGGTACAAAAGTGGAAAAGAAGTTTTCCAACATCTTATTGACTCAAAACCAATTAATTTTCAAAATATTGATGGACCAACTTCTTTTCCTACTGCAGTGGGGCATCAAATTTTGATTTCGTTGGGGCAAACACTTTTGTCTTAATGATTAGGCGCAATAGCCTTGTGCTTTGCCCCTTCCTTCTGGATCCTTTACTAATTTAAAAGATCTGGAGCGAAATGAATAAGCACTGAAAGACTCATTTCCATCCTTGCAGAAGCACAGCTTTTTTTTTTGTGTGTGCTTTTTAAAAATGGTGTACAGTGTGTGCTGTGGATGAGCTGGTCTCTAAAAGAATGCTGGAGCTTAGCGAGGCCCCAGATTATCCACATCAAATTTGGGATAATGGCACAGCCCTGGATTTTGAGAGCATAATGTGATATCTTCATGCACTGCCTCTCTGTGATGCCTAAAACAGAGCCTCACCATCAGCACAGCAGTAAACAAGTCATTTAGGTTTAACTTTCAGACTGAAATATATGTTAACTGAAAATAAGGATGCAGAAACAAATAAAACTCTTTCTGTATATACACACACAGTCACTGAAAGTATGTGAAACTGAAGAAACCATGCTTTACAGGATTTGGGGATTCTGAGAAAAATCCACAAAAGAGCACAATAAAAAAGCTAAAACAGTCATTTTATAAGGGGAAAAAAAAAAAAAATCAGTCCCACTAAGATGGTCAAGAGCTTTGCTATTAAACTGAGCCAAGCCAAGAGTACCAAGAATATTAGCATTATTCTAGTAATGTCTAGGAATAATTTCTGACAACAGGCAAGGTTTAGATTTGAGTCCATATGACATTGTTGTGTAGCTCATCTGTAGAACAGATTTCCTGAAATTGTACAGCCAGCTCTAATCCCTTTTTAACTGCACAGAAAAAAAAAAACCTCAAAACGTGTTTATTTCTTACCTGTGCAAATCCATTGAATGCTGTGCTGGATGCCTAAGTAGAAGCGAAGATCAGAAAAAGTTATCATTTGTTTACTAAATCAGAACACGAGTCAAAACATTTTTTGTTGCAAAATAAAAATATAAACCAGACACTAAAAAAAAAAAATATAAAAAAAGAGAAGGGTAAGGCAGCAAGAAATTTGACAGCAGGTGTCACAGACTTAAAGAAAAACAACAAAACCAAAAAGTATTTTTATAAAACAATAATTAAAAAAAGACTAAATGCATTTAAAGTTATACATACAAAAGACAAAACCTGCGAGACACAACGTGCCTCCGCAGTTCAAAGCTTCATTCACTGTTTTGAAACACACTTTTGTCAGCCTGCTTCATTACAGGGCTGAAGGGCACCACACTATGAACAGTTGCACGGCAATTTTTCAAAAAAAAGAATCGCACAGGCTTAGGAGGGGCAGTGGGAAACACACAAATGGATTGTTTTTAAACGACAGGGTTATGCATGGCCTAAGGAACTCTTGGTCTGGACTAGGCTACACACTGGGGTAGGTACCTCTTCTTTATCAGCCTCAATTTCCTGGTACAACAATCCATATCTCCGGTTAGCAATTTCATCTTCAGATAAATCTGAGTTGTTGGTCTCATTGTCTTTAGGACTAGTTGAACTCTCGGTGCTAGCATTTCTGGAATTTCCCATTTGAAACAGAGCCAAGGGTCTAGCTACCTCCTTGCTCGGTCCAGGATTGGTAACGCCTGCCTGCTCCCCAGGCAAGCCTTGTTTTACTGGTGCCTCCTGACTTTTATTGCTTGTGCTCACATCTACTTCTCCCCAGCTGTTATCAGTCCCTAGGTCTTGTGTAGACCATTTATCACTAATGCCTAACCAAACGTTTTGCATGTTACCTTCCTCTGAGTCTTGCTGCTTGGGGAAAAAGGGCCAATTATCCAGTCCGTTGGCTTGGCCCTCTGACAGATTAGAAAACCCCCAGGAATCATTAGTAACTGTCGGATCCCAGTTTGCCAACCAGGGGTCTGTTTCCAAGGCTTCAGGAACACCACTGCTACTGGGCTGCTCTTCAGCGACCGCTGCTGCCGTCCTACCTGTCACTTGGTCTTCTGCATTATCTAGGCAAGGATTACCACAGCTTGTGCCAGCAGCATCAGCTGTCTCGGGCGGCAATGCCCACTCTTTTTCAGGAGCGGCTTGACCTTCAGCAGCAGCAGCACTACCATTTGGGAGGAGGCTGATGCTATTGTCTTCAGTTCCTTTATCAGATTCTTCTGCACTGAATAATTCAGCGTCACACAGGACATTTCCAGTATTTGTAGTGTCCTTTTCTACGTGGTCAGCTACCTCTAGGTCAACACGTGCCGTCATGTTTATACACTCCATGGATGTATTCTCTCCAGTACCACTGTCAGTTTGGTCTAAGCCATCCTCAAATGTCCTTTCATGGTCCTGATCCCAGATACCAAAGACTCTCTCAGGTTCAGTGCCAGTGTTTCCTATTGTTTTACAGTTGTCCACTACTATTTTGTCCCTACCTTCCAGCCCTGTGCTCAACAATGGTATTTCTCCATCTGCTTCCTCAACGACATTGACTCCTTTGAATTCTTCTTCCCTAGGGTTTCCTAGGTTAGCACCACTATCTCTCCCAGCATCCCCATCATTATCTCCCAACTCATTTAAATTTTCTGCCTCTGTGCTGACTAAAACGTCAGGATCTGATTTTGCTAAATCCTTATGCAGTTCTGCCTCACTGTTCCCTTCAGTTTCACAACCTCGCTCTTCCAGTTCCTCTGTGCCTTCTACCTCCTTGTAGTTAACAGCTCTGGTCTCTACCTTTTCACTTGGTTTGACACCTGCCCTCTTTTTTTTCCTCTGCCTTTTGCACATCACATGGGAGGGGTTCATCCAACAAGCTATCGGTTCCCGGGACGGGTGTCTCAAAACTGGTTATGTTCTCTAAAGGCTGATCGGTCACCACGTCTTCCCATGAGACATTTTTGGCATCCAACTGGTCCTCCAGCGAAGTCCTCTGGTTTTCGTTTACAGAAGCTGACCCTGGTGCAGCATCCTCCTGCTCACCTACAGCAGGCCAAGCACTAGCCAGCAGAGTACCCATGGGTGTGCTTGAGGTTTGCTCTGCCCCAGGGAAAAGCAAAGAACTGCCTGCAGTGATTTCCTGGCTGACACTGGGTGCGCTAACATCTAGGTCCCAGTTGAGTGAACCTAGATTAGTTTGAGATCTGTTAATATCTTCTGATGACCCACTGTTTGGGGCTTCCTCCATGACCAGGTTACACAGGGAAAGACTTTTTGAAGAATCAGGCTTTAAGCAGACAGAAAAGCAAAGAAAAAACACAAGATGAAAAAGATAAAGGCGGACTTGATGAGAAAACACAAAATTTATATTTTACTAGAGCAATTTTAATTTAAAGAATGAAAGCGACTGAACTAAGCCATTTAAGGAAAAGTTACGTGGCTTGCAACATTTGGAGGCAGTAGATTGCAATGTAAAAGAGCAGCACTGGTAGACAAAAACCAGAAAACTACGTATTACACCACACTGATTAAGGCATGTCTCTAGAGCGGTTGCGATTTTGGGAGGAGGTTAGCTTACCGGCTGCACCAATTCGCTGCTTGTCTGTGGAGAAGAAAATCATACTCATGAACCACAGGAAATAAGAACACGACGTACTTTGTTACGGCGACAGTTCTTTAATTAGCAGTTCTCTAACCAGCGGCAGTTACCAAATTGGCATGGAGAAGACGCAGCGGGGCTTCTCCCGCCACTCCACTGAAGACTAATCACAGGCCCCTGAATTTAAGCCACACCATCAGCCTCTGGGTTACATTACAAAGGAAGTTCTATACGTACGTTGAATATTTGTGACACCCTGCTTTCCTCTGTGAGTCACTGACATCTTTATTGCGTGTACCCTATTCCATCTCAATTCAAAAGAGGGGTTGCTCTGTTAGTGGACAAGGAAGGAAGCAACCCAAGTGGCACCAGGGCTTACTTGTATTTACACTAAGGCATCGCTCGGGCAGTGCAGAGGGCCCTGAGCGCGCAGCTCCGATTCTCATCGCCCCGTGCCATGTGAAGGCATTTACACCCTCACAGACTAAAGCATCGAGTCACAAAGTCTGCTGTCTCTGCTGCCACTTTGAACAGATACAAATGCTGCAGTGAAGATCAACTACTCTGTGCTCAACTTGTTAAGATAAACTCAGTAAAAGGTTGAGTATCCCTAATTTCAAACATATAGCTCTGAGGCTCACTATTTCCTCTTTTTTTTAAAAAAAAACTAGAGCAAAGAGGAACATTATTATAATACAGAATACATATACAACATTAACAAGATATAAATAAAACTGTGTGAAAGGAAGACTTTGATAAAGCTATCTACTATAAAATTAGAGCAATAAATTTGAAACATCTCAACCCAGAGATTTTAGCTGGTCTAGATATTGGCAGCCTTGAAATTTTGGCTAGCCTACATACGTGACTGTTTTTTCAGGCTTTATTTAACCTTTCCCAACAGAGAGAGACAAGCATTTAATATACATCACATATGCCCATGTGTTCACAAAACAGTGCTGCCAATCTGAACACGAGAGGCATCCACAGATTTCTGCGCTGGCTGAAGCCGCAAAAGGTCAAAAAATAAGTGTACCAGGCTCCATGTCAAGTCAATCCAGCTATCTCCATGACATAAGGTCAAAAGAAAGCTCAAAAATATGAGCTGTTTTCTTCCTGCAGATTTTTGTATCTGATTTGGCACCAGGAGGAAGAAGGAAGGATTCATGCCATTTCATAAAGTAGCAGATTCTTTTGTGAATAACTAAAATTCACTGTATGCCCACAAAGATAAGTTAAATTCTCTCTTCACTACTGAATTTTGAGAAAATGGTTGTCCATTGGGTTAAAGCCCTGAAGAATTACACCTTCAAATAATTAAAACATGTGACTAACTAGCATCCATTCCTACCCTCTAATAGCTGTAATTCGGGCATGAGAATAAAAGCACCACACTTTGCTATAATGATTGTGAATCTCATTAGCCTAGATTTCTGACATCATTTTGGTTTTGTAGGCCAAGCAGCAGAGATTACTTTTTGTTGGTGTGTGTTTTAAAAGATCCCCACTGGCTTCGTATACTTGAAAGTGTTTGTGACGGTTCGTAAATTCATCATCTTGACTTTGGGTAAAAACATTATAAATCTGAGTTTAGAGTGTAACAAAATCAGAGACACAGAAATACCCCAATTCGCAATGACAAATGTCAGGCTTACCGTCCAGAGATCCCATGGCAATGTCTGAAAAAAGGAGTGGAAAAAAAGGCTTTAGAAAAATACTGTTCATATACTATATGTTCAACATGTTACATAATTAATTGTGTGCACTAAGAAGTGCGAACTTATTTATATGCATATTTATAATGAATATATATTTTATATATTAGCACGTGTGTGTGTGGGGGGGGTATATATCTGCATAATAGGGTTTTTGGTTAAATAGGATAGGTATTATGCAATGGATATTTACCACTTTGAGTAGCTGCTGATTTCCAGCAAACTCATACCGCTGTATCCTTGAGTAGGAGCCAGATTCTGAGCTGGTGACTAAATGACTTTCAACAGGCACAGGAGCCTCTGCAAGGTGCAAGCTTTAAAGAGCTCACATAGGTCAGATTTTTTTAGCCAGTTAAGAAATCATTCAGCTATCCACTGAGAACAAGTGGGTTTCCTCATAACTCTGACACCAGGAAGGAAAACGGCACGCTTTTTGGGAAAGAAAACATGAAAGCTGACCAATGCTTCAATTTTCTTGTCCAGTCTGCTAAGTAATAAACGTTAGCGACCTCTCAGCAGAAGAGCTGAAGGGACAGATGAAAGAAAAGCAGCAGACTTCATGGCAAATATTAATAGCCCATCACATGACAAAGAACTCTGCTGGTTGGTCCTGAAAGCTGTTTGAGATGTTTCAAAACATATCTACTACCTTCAACACCCATGTTAAGCTCCATGAAAAACAAAACCTAAAGATGTTCATAAAGTAAACATCAAAACTGTTCCTGAATTATTCACAAATGTTAAGTGTGACATCCAACATTTGCCTGAGAGAAAGGATTGCTGCATTTAGCTTCTTTTCTTGCCTGCCTCTTATTTTCTAAGAGCAGAATGGCTCTCTGAACAACTTCTGCTTTCATGAACAAAAGACACAGGAATAACAGTGGTGAGATTTACAGCGCATTAACATCAACAGCCATTTCTCAATCAGTTTAATTTTGGTTTAAGTCCAGGTATGTGCTTCTTCAGTGGATGTAATTCACAAGTGTACCTGCTTACTCCTGCGCCATGTTATCAGCTGAACATTCAAGCTTTAAGGTAAAATGGCAGTTGTCGTCTTATAGCACTAACTGGTACAAACCCTAGACCCCACTTTGACTTCCATGGAAGGAGAGACTGCTCATTTTTCATTTTTTCATTTTCCTTTCATTGCTCATGAGGTTTTGAGCAGGAGGGGGAAGGAACACACTGAGGGAAAGGCGAGACAGACCACAGCTTAGCAAACGGAGGCGAGGGCCAAACACGTTTAGAAAGGCCACTTCTGAAGCAAAAACACAGAAACAGGAAAGCAAGTGAGGAAGGGCAGACCGGGGCTCGCTGACATCTGATCACCCTGGCAGAGCAGTGGAGGGAGGCAATTCATTAACTGATCAATAGGGAAGTCACGCCAGGCCTCCTGAGGCATCACAGCACAGATGACTACTCCTGTCTTCATGTCACTGCTCCAGCACAATCTGCTGAAGGGAAAATATCCATAACCAAGGCAAAAACTACATACATAGAAAGACCATTTAAGGCTCTCTTCTTAACTTCCCCATGAAGTAGCACAGGGCTCTCCAAAGACTGCGACCAGTGATTTCATTCTGTCAGTGGTGCCATAGCAATGACCCTGCCAAATCTGGTGAGACCGAGATCCAGACTGCAGGGCTATCTTCCCTCCTTCTAAAAACACAATGCTCTAACTCATCCACATGCTTTCATGGATGTGGACCATCCTTTCTCATATATGTATGTTGGGAGGAAAGGTGAAAGGAGAGGAGAGACTGAAGGTGCTCAGTAGTGCTTCCTATGCACCTAGATGAAAAAATACCACGTACTTTTCCACACTGAATCATATTCTGTGTTTCATGGTAGAGCTGAATCTAAACCAATCTTTTTTTGCTAAAGTAATAAACTCTTCTACAGTCTGTACAATATTATATCAGGACAGACGTGCTCTGTCACAAAAGTTCAGTGTCTTTGGTTTAGTAATCCCACTGCCGTAATCAGCATTATTGCAAGACAAGCTGAAAGTGTGAGTTGGCAAAGTCACAGAGTTTTCTGTCATAGTGACTATCAAGGAATTTCCTTCCCCTTCCCTGTTTAGAGGGAGTGAGAAAAGTAACAACTAAGATGCACAAAGCCTCTGCTATAATTAAACATTCCTCCTAGCCAACTACAATGAGCAACTTGAGCTAACGTTCACAGTACTGACAGTGCATAATCCATCAGGGATCACTACGGATCTCATTATCTAACTAGGACTGCACACCAAATAAGAGAGATCAGCAGAGAAACCAGGACTAGCTCAGCCACAAAGCTTCTTGTCTTCTCAGTCCTTTCCCAGTGCTGCATTCCTGAACAGCTGATTAGTCTTCTCATGTCTCACACTCCAAGCCAGGTCAGCGACAGCCACAGGGATAACAGGTTTTGCTGACAGTGTGTTAATCCTGTTTCCTTGTCTGTGTACAACACAGAGCTCCAGCTCTGCTGGCCAGGAGAACTTGGCCAGGAGAACTTCCCTACTGCACTATCAGCCTCTGAGTAGCGAGGGTGAGTTCTGGATTTTAAACAGCAGGTAGGGCAAGTCAATGAAAATCAGCAACTTGATATATCAGCTTTTTTTTCTTTTACTTTTCTTCCTTTTTTTTTTTTTTCCATGTTGCTGCAAGAAACTACCATGGCAAATATTACCGTAGAACGTAGAATTTCTCTAACACAACATCCTGCAAGGAAACATCCTACTCCATCCTCTCATTTTCCTTGAGGTTAGGTCTAAAATAGATTTATAAAAGCAAAACCACTCAGATCATATCCCCTGCTTGGTATGCTTGGTATAGAAACTCCATCACAGAAAAGCAATCGCATGTTGACTCCATGAGACCTAGGTCCCCTGAGGCATCTTTCCAGACATGAAGAGTCAAAGCCAGGTCAGAAAAATTGTCAGAAAAACAGGCGCTGGAGAATTCTGTAGAATTATAGGCACCAAGATCAATTCTAAAACCAGAAAATAATGACACGCCAAAATCAAGGTGCCATAAGTGAACTTCTCATTTTACCACCTGACAATTTCCTCTCCTTCCAGGAGGTCATCAAGTACAGGGTTATTGAAGGGGAAAGACAGATGCCTGACAAGGGCTGCTCAGGACAATCAAGTTTTTCAGAAGCTGCAGATACACTGCTCATTGGTACACAAGGTAAGGCTTTGCTACCAAACACAGCACTTGGCATTAATATGCTTCGCCTACCTCAAGGCAGAGAGATACCTGAGACATGGGTGAATGGGTAACTCCTGTCGATACAACTTCTGGCTTGAAAGGGTCGAAGTCCAAATCTAGCAAAGACTCCTCTTTCTTAGCTTCAGGAACTTCATTCTGTTAGAAGAGAAACATAAATCTTGAAAAACTCTGCTTTCAAAAGCTGCCCTGGGAGGCAAAATATTGAGAGGTCTAAGAAAAAAATAATTATATCGCAGACTTTCTAGCTGCAGTACAAGCCAGGAAGGGAGGAAGCTCTGGAGATCTTCCTGAGCTTTAGCGTAACTTTTAATTTTATTTTTATGAGCTTCACTCTTATGATGCCTTGTTTTCCATGTAGTGCAGGTCTGCCTTTTCGAGCTAAACAAATCGCAGACCCTTTGAAAGAGTGCTCAGTGTTCACTGTTTGACTGTGAAGGCTCTTTAAAGAGCTACGAGTCAGACACCAAAATTAAAAATTACATAAATGGCACCAATGTCCGTACACTTTAATAAGTGAATCTCTCCCCAAACACAAATATTAGTAAAAAGCCAATATAGAAGGACATGAATGCATTTGAATCAGATTTCCATTCTGAACATGAATGCCAATTCACATTTAATGCTGTCCTTAAAGCTAAACTTTAGGAAGCATCTTATATAACCCTAACTAAATCTTGCTACACTGATCTACTCTTACAAAACTGGATTACATGGTAGAGCCTTCCTTTGTTTGAAACTATTGAACTGGCCAAGGCCTCTGAGGTCACTACAAATATATAGATTGGTTCAATGGGCTACAGGTCTTTCCCTCTAACACGAACAAATAATTAGCGTGTGTCAACACAAAATGTTATTTTTAATTAGTGTGAAACTGTAGCTGAGATTTAATTGTCACTAATGATAAATATTCGAGGCAAGCATCTTAGTTTTGGTAACAAGGCTAGTACTGCCTACTGCTAGTTGTTCAGTGTTTATGAAATAGCGAGAGTAGCTTGTCTTTTGATGTACAGAATTTATAGAGAGCAAAGTATTCATCAGAATGCTATTTTGAAAAGCGTTCAGATTGGAAACTGTACCATGGAAATTACTTGTGCACATATATTCACACAACCTTATGTAAGAATGGCAGCACAGGGTCAGACCATATAGTCCAACACCCTGTTCCTGACTGTGACCAAAGTGTACACCAGGGGAAGTCCACAACAACAGAGCAGTTGTAAGAACAGTAAAACTAGAAGATAATAATTATGATGATAATAGTAAAATAACCAAACAAAGACTTTCTATTATTAACACATTTAAGAGTGTAAGCTTTCCAAATTCGTGTTACTATTGGTAAACAGATCATAGAATTATTTACGTTGGAAAAGACCTTTAAGATCAGTGAGTCCAACCATAAACCTAACACAGCCAAACCCACCATTAAACCATGGCCTTAAGTGCCACATCTACACGTCTTTTGAAGACCTCCAGGGATGGTGACTCAACCACTTCCCTAGGCAGCCTGTTCTGATGCCTGATAACCATTTTGGTGAAGAAATTTTTCTCATATCCAACCTGAACCTCCCCTTGTGCAACTTGAGGCCATTTCCTCTCATCCTATTGCTTGTTACATGAGAGAAAAGATTGACACAAATCTCACTTCAACCTCCAGCTAGTTGTAGAGAGTGGTAAGGTCTCCCCTGAGCCTTCTTTTCTCCAGGCTAAACAACCCCAGTTCCCTCAGCTGCTCCTGATAAGACTTGTGCTCTAGACCCTTCACTAGCTTCATTGCTGCTCTTTGGATGTGCCCCAGCATCTCAATATCTTTTTTGTAATGAGTGGCCCAAAACTGAACACAGTATTTGAGATGTGACCTCACCAGTGCTGAGTACAGGGGATGATCCCTTCCCTATTCCAGCTGGCCACCCTATTTCTGATACAAGCCATGATGCTGCTGGCCTTCTTGGCCACCTGAGCACACTGCTGGCTCATATTCAGATGGCTGTCTACCAAGGTCCTTTTCTGCCAGGCAGCTTTCCAGTCACCCTTCCCCAAGCCTGCAGCATTGCATGGGGTTGTTGTGACCCAAGTGCAGGACCTGACATACAGCCTTGCTGAACCTCGTATAACTGACCTCGGTCCACCGATCCAGCCTGTCCAGATCCCTCTGCAGCACCTTCCTACCCTTGAGTAGATCAACACTCCAGCCCGATTTGGTGTCATCTCTAAACTTACTGAGGGTGCACTCGATCCCCTCGTCCAGATCATTGACAAAGATATTAAACCGAACTGGCCCCAGTGCTGAGCCCTGGGGAACACCACTTGTGACCAGTCGTCAACTGGATTTAACTCCATTCACCACAGCTCTTTGAATGAAGGAATGAAGTTGCTATTTATGAGGCTGAATCAAAAGAATAGGAGACCCACTTAGGCTGTCTGTGATAACAGCTAAGGTACCTGTAGTGCCAGGGTACTGATCACCGACTGCAAAAGTTAGCATTACCCATTACCCTCAGACCAAAATGAAGAGAATACTTGTTGTAACTTTAGGAACCAAGACCCAGATAAACACATAGCATAACTTGAGATATCACATTAGATGAAGCTTTAGGAGAAACAGGAACTTCAGGAATTCCGTCAGATAAAAGACAACGCTGTGACAGGAAGGCCTGTCAATCATCCTGTGTTAATTCTGCCACAGCATGACAAAGCATGAATAAACATCACATTTAAGAGAGTTGGCTGTGGTGGAAGCGAGGCTGTACCTCTCTGAGGACAAGTATGCACAAGGGATGGAGAGGGCACAAGAGATCTGTAGGGACCACCAGAACTGCCTCTCTCTCTCTCTCCACACACGATCTGTACAAGCCTTAAAACAGCCCTAATAGGTACGGGTTGTCAGACACATTCAGACATTTTAAGTACCTGGAGGGGACGTATTATAAAGGCCTACACTGTCCAAGCTAGTAACTGGACACTAGGTAGCAAAGTGATGTGAAGAAAACAAGAAATAAAGCAAGGAACACTCATTTCTAAATGATCCTTTCATCCAGTCACCCGGATATCACATCTTCTCGCATCTTTCTTTTATTTAGTCGTAACTAAATACATTCTTGACAATGAATAAACTGGAAGCATGAACCACTTTGTTGAATCAGGGCCAAAATACTCAACAGCATCAAGCAGAACTGCCTGTCAGCATCTTGCACAGCACCTAATGCGTTAGTGCTGCTTGGCAAAGAAAGATAAACAACAACAATGACAGGCTGTTTGTGTTCCAGAGAAAAGTGTCTGCCCTGGTTGTAATCCTCTCTGAAACATGGGATTAAAGCAACAAAGCTCTATTTGTTGGCCTGTTGATTTTGTGCCTCTGCGTGAGGACAGTGCCAGGGACACCAGCGGTGGTCTTCTGGGAAGTCCTGCACCATTGGAGGGCTCTGCAGGCTCCATAGCTTCCTTCATACTGCCCAATGACAGCTCTGGGAGTACAGGAGATGCCATAAGCACCAAGAGGAACAACATCATGTTTGTTGTTGTTTTCATAAAATATATTTTCCAGAATTGGTTCTTTTACAGAAGCATATAAAACCTATTACATCACACTATTTTAGTATGCCTGTGCATACTCAGAGATCTCAGACACAGTAATGGGGCTGGGTTTTGTGGAGGGAGAAGTGCAGGTCATTCATGAGAAGGTGGCCAGGGAACAGCTTAGGTCATTCCCAGGTCATGGACTGTCGAGGAAGGAGAGACATAAATCATTTACTGAAGGGAGATCAATTTTTCCTTGACAGACAAGGCAAAGATTTCAGTTCTCAGGAGCGCGATCCATTTCATTATGCCCTTCCATTCTCATATCCATCTCTTGTAGAAAGGTCATAAAGATTCTGGAAATGTGACTTACACTCATTTAAAGCCCCGTTCCAGTGTTGGCTCTTACTGGAAAAACAAATGGGTTCCATTTCTGCTTCCCATGCTGGCCTGACAGGTGAAGGTTAGGTGGATACAGCATCTAACACAGGGAGCCACATCTAGCAGAAGTTGTATCACCTCTGACCACCAATTTCAAGGCTCACACTGCCAGAGGGACAACTCCCATGAAGTCA